ACCAAATAGCGATGGCCTTCAACCTACTAGCGATGGCCTCCGACCTACTAGCAATGGCCTCCCACCTAATAGTGGTGGCCTCCAATCTAATAGCGATGGCCTTCAATCTATTTAGCTCTTTTCATACCCGTGAGGATCCTCAATCTGCTATTTGGGCTGCGCACGCTTCGTCGTGCTGCACCAGCTGGCCTCATGGGCATAAGGCATCGGGATGTTGAAGTGCCTCGAAGATCAGTTAGAAGATCCATGAAGATCCTAAAGCCCTATCATCGCTAGAGTCGCTAGAGTCCTTTCAGAGGAAGAAACCGAAAAGGGTGAAACATGGTGAAACCTCTTGAAATTAACGGCCAGCTCAATACGATCAAACGTGATTGTCCGCGGGTTGACCGTTTCTTGCCATTCTTGCTGCAATTCGCAGTTGCACTCTTGGGTTGTAATGTTAATGGTCTAGAAGTCTTGTCCTTGTTTTCTGGGTGTTTCATTGGGCGGCTTGCCTGGAGCTCGTTGGGGAGTGAAAGAATGGTGGTTATATATATATATATATACCAGTGGCATCCAATTGTAGAAATACAGCATGTCTCCAATCTTGCCTTCATTGCTGAAAGTGCCACATCTGCCAGACTTACTGCAACCTGAAAATTCTATATAGATAGAATGAGATAACATTAGCCGCGAGTTAAGTAAAATTCCTTTCATATAGCTAGCAGCTGCCAGCTTGCCAAAGAGCTCAGGCTTCTACAAAGGCGTCTTTGCGCGATCGAAGCCCACATGTGAATGGTATACATAACCTGCAGGCGGCCACAGGAATGCACTTTCTTATTCTTTGAAGCTCTGTTCTTGCCTGCCATGGGCCCATAGTCGGCCACATTGTCATTATCAATGAGTTTCAAGATGTTTCAAGACCTTTTAAGGATGGAATCACAACACAAACGCATCATTATCGTGAACCACAAGGGGGCACCCCTCCTAATTCCGAATTCCTCTGAAAGTGACGCCCTGTAGTTGGGGTGTCTAAAGCTGTGGCTCTGTCACACCATTCACCATCCACGCTGCAACGCCTACTGGCACTCCGTGCGGGGACACAGTCCGCGCACGCCCAGCAGGGGCCTTAGTTCGGGTGCAAATACTGATGGCACGGAATTGGCGCGGATTTGCGCGGATGCCCGAAACAGTCTCACTGCATGGCACTGCTACCCTCTGACACCTCAAACAAACAACCTCTCGAAAGAGTTGGTTGAAAAGCATCTGGAGGTCTAGTATTTGACATGGGCTTGCGCTGGCTTTGAAGGTGTGAAGGTGGGGCGGACTATGCAGCTCCATTTAACATCGAGCGCTGACTCTGTGGACCCTGGCCGACGCTGAATTCATTTCGATCTTTTGCTCTCGGCTCCTGAAAAGTAGGACGCTACTAGGGGCTCCTGGCCGTACTACTAGGAGCAAGAAGCTACTAAGGAGACACCAAGGAATCCTAAAGTACTTTGTCTTTTGCGCATTGTGTGCTGTATACCTAGAAGCACCTGGGGCAGAAATTTCTGCCTCAGTCCGATTTGCCCGGGAGGATTCGCGGATTTAGGGGAAATCCGCGCCAGGTAGGAATTTCCGCGGGCAGCAGGGAATTTTTGCCTCCAGCAAAATCCAACATAGCAACTCAAAAACCATTACAACCTACCAGGTTGTCTCTTCCATTATTGCAGACCACATATCGTTCTGCATAGTTTCACATCTCAAGATCTGACACCCTACGATTTTGACACTTCTAAATTCATGACATTCACAAAGAGGCTGCGACATATGTTCAAGCCCTTCAAAGGCATCAAAGGCACTGTTCTTGAATCCCGCCTTCTACCAGGAAATTTCCGCCGGCTTCCCGGGTATTTCCGCCGTTTTCCCGGGTATTTCCGCCTCTTTCCCGGGTATTTCTGCCTTTTTCCCGGGCATTTTCGCGCCAGGTGTTTTCAACTTTGGACTGACTTTAGTCCTTTTGTGATCATTCCGCACAAGAAACCTTCAAAAACAAAGACACAAAATATATGATATGATGGTAGCCAGATTTGCAGGTGGAGGTGGAAACTTAAGCGCTGCAAATTGGTTTTTCTCATTGCGGTGACCGTTCCAGGCAGAAATGCCCAATGTAAACCACAAAAATATTCAACTCCTGTAGAATATGTTGTCTTTGTCTGACTGGATTCCTGAAAAGGAATATTCGCGGCAACAAAAATATTTCCGCGGCAAACAGCTGATTTCCGCCCCAGGACGGGAAGAGCCGCTCTTCCCGAAAAAGGCAAGAATTTCTGCCCAAAGGATCTTCTAGGTATTGTGCTTGTCCAGCAATATCAAAAGGGAGTCACTTCAACAATCAAAAAAGTAAAACCAAAGATCTGTAATAAATTTTCATGTTTTTTCTCAGGTGCGAATCGCACCGGACTTTTTACGAAAAGCGTGCTGTCGTGTCCTTGGCGGTGACTGTGCCAGTGAGGTTCGAGACGCCTTAGCAATGGATGTCAAATGTCAAACTGAAGCTTGGCGCATTCCGTCATGCTCACTTCCTCCGGCTGATCAAAGTAAGACCGCTCCATGTTGCCTTGTTTCCACTCCGCATGCTTCGGATCTTCACTCACTTGGCACCAGCATGCGGATGATTCCACGGGCTGGATCCGAAGCTTCCAGCCCGCACAAAGTCCAAGCCATGAAGTCATCCTGCACGGCTGAGATTGCCAAAGCAGCACTCGGCTGCCACCAAAGTGTGATGGTTTGGAAGTTGAGATGCACCCATTGCCCCAAACTGTTGCAATCTTCATCTGGGGACAAATCCAAGTTTCCAAGTATATATGTTCAATTTATGGCATGTTCAAAGAACAGTAGTAGGCTCGAAGCAAACATATTCTGCAATTCTTGCGGCTGTCCGTCGGATGACATGTCAACACCGCCAGGAAGAGGTTGCGTGCCTCAAGAGATCGCCAAGGCAAACAAGGGCAACAACACGGCACTTATATAACCTGTTGATTCATGCAAAGTAATCGTTGCATCTATCGTCCTCATTGGCTGCCAAATCTTGTATGCTACCCCTGGACCAACAGGCTTCGGCCCTGAGTGTGCGTTCATGCCAAGCCACGCAGTCTCTCCTCAAAGTCTTCATCCTCACAGACTCACAGTGACGACCAGGTCCCAGCTTTTGGGTTGCCCATGATATCCCACCCATGATGGTCTGACTGTGTTGAACTCCACAGAACTTGGCTCTTTGGACGGCGAATAAAACGCACACACACACAAAAAAAAAACAATCCACTGTGAATCACGACGTGTTCACTGTGCTTGTCGTTTGCATCCTCTTCACTCCGGTGGCCCACTGCCGCGAGAGCCGCAAGAAGCTTCAGCCATTGCAACCGCTGCGCCTGTTCGCGACAAAGGAACACTGTGAACTTCGTGAACCGCTTGGGACTATCGGAGAATGCTCATCCACTTAGGAGAGGTAATCATGGGCAACCCACCAGCCACCCCCACCTTGGACATATTCCCCACGCGCTGCAGCAGCCACTGGGTCATCTGGCAAACTACGGGCTTCATCATGAATCTTACAATGATGCAGATCTGCAATCATCGAATGAACAGAACTTGTGAGAACAAGAACGCTACTAGGGGCTCCTGGCCTTACTACTAGGAGCAAGGACGCTACTAGAGGCTCCTGGCCTTACTGCTAGGAACAAGGACTCTAATTACTAGGTAGGGAGAGAGGCTTCTATTGATTCGGGTCCCTTACATCTGTGTAGAGAGCGTAGACTTCGCAACAAAACGCCAAATGCATTCAACTCCAGCACTGATCTGGCAATGAAGCTTTCAGCCAAAGGACATCGCGGAAGACGTCAGGATCTATGGCATTGAGATCCTAAGCAGCTCACTGTTAAAGGGTCGGGATTTGAGGTCAAATGCATTTGAGGGTAGTCCTCCGAAAAGAGTAGAAAGCAACACTCTCCTTCATATGGGCCACACCCGTTCAGCTTCAAATACCTTCAAAACCACACCCGCAGTTTCCACCCCGAACATCTCAATGAAATCGTGTAATTATAGCATCCAGTATGTTGCAAACATCAGGTACGAGTACATTGATGTGGTGGAAGGAAACAACTGCTAGCATCTGCTAGCAAAGTATTTGCAATCATACTGCTTCTCTTGCTGACAGGAAGCCACCAAATGCTGCGCGACAGCTGTGACTTGATGAATGTCAAATTGGCCCCAGCGAATGCGGCACCTCAGCTCGCTCTCTCTCTCTCTCTCTCTGTGTTAAGTCTGTTACATAGATGGCCTTCAGAAAGGGTAAGCCGTGCTAAGGCTAGACAAGTCATTGCATGTGACAAGTGGGGAGGAAATTGTATAGCTGGTGGGGCAACATGGCCTGATGTGCACGAAGACCGCTTCGAAAAGCTCTCCATCAAAGAACTTCAATCGTGCCTTGGAGAATCACCACGGAGTGGCTTTGGAGCGGGCGCGGGCCGAATTCTGTGTGTCACATTCACCGTCCTCAAGAAGGACTACGTCAACACTCCTTATCACTCCTTCATGCATGATACACTTTTTCATTGTGATCCAACAAAATCCAAGGTGAGCTGTCCACTTCCTTGGAGGGAAGTAGAAGTCAATCTCTACTGTTTCCACTTAACAAATTTTCCTGCCAGGACGCAGCAGTCTCACACAAAGCCGTGAGCTCCTCACAACAAACAAAGGACTCCCATCTGTTGGCTCTGTTGGCTCTGTACATCTGTGTTCTTCACCATACCCCTTGCTGTAAAGGTCTGGGACTTCCAAATAGTTCCCATGGCTGTGGATCGGTTTCATGGTTACAAATCTCTTCAGCCATGCCCGGATCCTCCGCAGACATTTTCATCGAAGCTTCTTGGATGGCAGGACTAAGTCGAAGAAACTCCTTGGCCAAGTTGGGAAAGCTCAGGACAGAAGTGGAGAATGAGACATCTTTGCACGTGTCAAGCGTCAAGTCAGAAGGCTCGGCTGGATCGACAAAATGCATGAGAGCAAATGAATGCCAGTGAATGTGGGGGTTCCCACCATAATACACAACTGAATTATACTGAATTAGCCCGATAGTCAATAGTCCATATTAGGTACCCATAAATAATTTAGAGTCCAATAGTCAATGTCACTCCAAGGTTCTGAAAAGGTTTGGATGTCCCGCATGCTGGCAGGCCTCACAGGGTCACGAAGCTCACGCAGGTGAACCTCTTGCAGTGAAGCGAGTGACGTCGTGAGTGAAATCATTATATAGTAACAAGGGCATTACTACTAGTAATTATAGTAGCTCCATGCACACAGCCATGCAGTAAACCGTAACCAAAGTAAGTTATAGTAAGTTTGGCCCAACAGAGCTCAGTCACAGTCTTGCGTCACCTCCATCTTTCGAAATACCGTGGGAAATCAACGGGTAGCAAGACAAAACAAGAATTAGTTGAATTGAACAGTTCTGTTTGGAATGCATGTTTTAAATCCTGCCACGCCACAGTTTTGAAGGTGCAGCAAGGAGATCTTCTGAGTTCAGTGGCCTTAGCTTTTCGCTTCAGTGTTCTGATTTCCTTCGCCTCGCGTCAACTCCAAGACGAACACTGAGACGAGTCTCAGGAGATGGAGTTGAACCAACCGTGCTGTAGATTATGGTATATGGCAAACTTGAACTAACATTTGTAGGTGCCCAGGACAAGGTACTTGAATGGCCTGAGCTCAAACAAGCTATGGGCTATATGGGAATATGGTCCCAACTTGAAGGTAACTTAATTTAGACCCTGAAGTCATTCGTGCGCCTCTTGCTCTTCAAGCCAATACCCACGGCGAGATACCTTTCCTCGCTGCCTTTGGAGCGGCCAAGGCCCAGGGCAGCACGGAGAGCGACCACCTCAAGGGATTAGCAGTTAACAGTTGAGTCCTTGCATTGACCAATGATCCAAGGCAAAGTACAGAAGTAGATATGGGCACAACATGGCACAACCAAGACATGCCAAGAGCTTGGGCAAAGCCCTAGGCTCAGCACCTTCACTGATCCATCGCAACTCTGTTCCACGAGTCCAGTGAAATAGAGGTCAGCTGAATTGGATGCTCGCTGTATGGCCATCTGGGAAACGAATCGGCCAAGTCTGGGCGCAGCTGTATAGCACTCACACCTTGCAGGCCTGCACTTTCAAAGGTTGGAGCGCTGTGCATGCTGTGCAGCGAGAGACATGGCCGACTGCCCTGTGAAGTCCATCCAGTCTTAATTCCAACACAAAGGTTTTGGAATGCCACACTGCTACAGGATCACATTGCGGCATCTGTGCAAGCAAAAACAAGCATGCAGTGGGTCTTCTTGCGGTCTTGCAAGTCGGGGGCTTGTCAAATTGGGGTTGCCACCCCTCCTGATGGTTTCTCAACATCGAGCAACACTGTCAACACACATGAAGTAGCAAGAAGGACCACAACTATCCCCGCAATGTTTGGCAAGCAAGCTTGAGCCCATCAATCCGATGAGAACTCCTAAAGCAAGCTCGCCTAAAAGGAGGCCTCTCTTGGGCCGAAAACGGAGCTTGCCACTCAGCAGGCCACTTTCATGGACTTCCTTAGGTCATCGTGATGACCCAACAACTTGGGCAAGCTCGGGCCTGACTTCACCATGTGGGCCACGACCAACAAAATCTCAGTTGCACGTGAGACTCCACCGGCCTCTCTAATGCCTTGGCTCACCTCAGTTGCCCTCTGGCGGAATTGTGGTTCATCGAAGACCCGCCTCAAGGCCTCAGTCACGTCCTTGCGGTACTGCACCATGGCTGCTTCTTCTTCACCATCAGCGGGCACAGGTCGATCAACCTGCAATGCCACACCCATGGCTTGAGCCTTCTGAGCATTAGCAGGCTGATCCGCGACTCCAGGGCAACCCACCATTGGAACTCCCAACGACAAGGATTCCATGAAGCTGTTCTGCCCAAAATGGGTCAAGAATAGGTCCACGCCAGTTCGCAACAAATCGACCTGGGGCACTTCAGGCACGCAAAGTGCATTGCAAGGCACCTGGAGATTCTCCAAGGCATCTGGCTGAGGGCCCGTGGCTAGCACGATCAAAGG